CTGAAGCGTCTTACTCAATGTGAGGTCAAGGATTTTGACTTCATAAATTGCTACTTATTATTAGTATTTAGTGGTTCTTTTAATACAAAACAAATACTTTTTACACATCCTTTTTAAATGTGCTTATGTAAAAGCTCTGCTATTTTTTTGCAATTTTAATTACAAAAAAATTTATTAACAAAACAGTCATCCTTCATTTTAAAATGTTTTACGTCAGCTCTTAAAGATTGCGGCGTAGGTCAAATTCTATTGGTCTTGAACTGTGGCTCTAGCTCAGCCATGTTTACTACTATGTTCGAATTGATGTTTTTCTTTATAAATTCTCAAGATTTACAACAAATCATAACACACAAAATGTACACATATAATGAAAATAAATAGATAAAAATAAAAAATATTATTATTTTTATTATAAAAAAATACATTTAATGCATTGTATATGTTACATGCACATATGCCTAACTTACCATTGGTGATATGACTGACGGTAAAAGCCTTTTCATTGGATTTTGAGTCAGATTCATCACCACTCGATGTGTCCCCAGACATAACGCAAAGAAAAGTTGATTGTTGCCTTCGGACTGTTAACTGAGAATCCAAGTAATTTCTTACGTGCTAGATATGACTTCACGGTTTTAGCAATTACGACTATGCCGCGGAAGCCTCATGTGTATATGGATTATCGCAGGGACTGAACAGCTGTGTTTTTTAGACAATACTGCTTTTCCAACCTTAATCCCCGTGTCTTTGACATCGTGGTGTTTTGCATTATTTATATCATTCAACTGACCTACATAAAAAATAGATTCACACAGAGAGGCAAATTACTCGAATACAAGATACCGCGTTTGCCTCCACTATGTCCACAATGACCAGCGGCACTGATTTACAATAACCCCCCCACACAAATAACAACTAATATACAACTTGTAGGTTAACTGTCTAATGTTAGCATTAGCTGCTCACCGGTAGCGTCAGTCATTATTAATAACTTGGTGACAACGTTAAGACTGATTTAACATGAACCACAGCTAAACATATTAGACTGCTGTTTAGGAACTGTTCGACACTTTTAAGTGTGCAATTAAGTTACAGCACCAAGTAAAGTATGTGCTGTTGCTGCTTTAATACAGTTGCAGCGACGATAGCCTGATGGCCGTCAAAGTTTAAACGTCGGCTAACGCTAATATTTAGTTCGTTGTAACTAACCACTTTCGACACCGGCGACCGAAGCATGTTTTTAATGGCCCATTATGCTGCTTCCGCACCTTCGTTGTCTCAACTTGAGTCCATTCAAACACTCGCCCATTGGTATAATATTTACGCCCAACTTTGTATTTATTGTGAGAAGCTAGTTGTTGCTAAACCCAGGATGCTTTCGACACAACCTGGGCGACGGTCGGTCACGTGACACATGGTTATAGGCGGAGCCTGTCTCGTAGTCTCAGACAATTATTATTATTATTATTATTATTACTATTATTATTATTATTGCCTCTGTTATAATTAGCAGCGGTTGCTGCAGTATTAAACAATTTGCTATATCGTTTAAAAACATATTCACTCATAACTAAAATCATTTGACCATTTAACCGATGTGCATTTGACGTAGAAACCCAGTTTTCAAAAGTTTGAAAGATGTACGTTGTACATGCAACCGATTCACCTCGGTAAAATTCTTCTACTTCCAGTGTTTTGTAAAAGAACAAACTTATTTGCTGTATTTTAATGTATTGCATAGTTATGAATAGTTTAGGAGGAAGTGAGCATTGTAACTGTTTGATTTGATTTGACAAAAAAAATTTAAAAAAATCCCATTCTTCAGGTAGAAAACTTGTGCCTGCTAAACTGTCTGCCTTATCTGGTTCTTGTCTTCATGATTTACCTGATATATTCATTGGTGAGTGTCTATGACTTGTAGACAAAAGCATGACTAAACCACAAAAGCATGACTAAACCACAAAAGTCATGCTTTTGTGGTTGCTTAAATTCAGTTATTTTCTAGAAGAAAAAAAACAAAAATTATGGGTTTGGGTTTGTAGGTAGTTTCAATGACTGTATATTGTTATATGTGTATAGGACTTTTAAAAACAAAGCAAAGAAATTGTCAGCTGTACAATTTATTGGTGTGTTCATTTTTAGGGTGGCACCTACATTGTGAAATGTTGATCTACAAACTTCACTTGGTCACTGTCAACACCACTGGTCTTGCGGGGGGAGGGAAAAAAGCAGCAACCTTGTCTGGACTGCACATTCGGATACTGCAGTACTTCGAGGTACAGACGTTTTCTCATTACATTTCTTGGATGCATTTTTTTGTTGTTGTTGATGATTTACATATTACATCCATAAATGATTCTAACAGAAACCGAGTACAGTACACCATTCACAGAAGAATTACTGATCGACTGTATCTGTTGGTAAAGCGGAAAACACAATCATCAATGTATTATAATAGTTCTAAATCTAAATGGAAACCACATTATCGGGAGCGATATCCATGTGGCGGCAGAGGCACAGCATCTGATGACTTATTTAATGGTTACGAAAGAAGAAACAAAATGTGATTTTAAAATGACGTTAGTGTAACTGAGGACATTTTTTGCACCACAATTTATAAGGCGCTTGGATTTTTTTTTAAGCATTTATCATGAATTATCACAAAAGGGAAAAAAAAAAAAAATTATAAATCTTAGTAGAAAGTAAGGAGAGTAGGCAGAGAGACATTTTTTGGCCTGTTTCTTTTGACAAAGTTGACCAACCTTTTAACAGTTAACTGCTATTTTCATTAAAAACAGATTTGTCACATTATAGAGCCACAAAAGGGCAGGGTTTTGATGTTTACAAGGTCAAATACTGAAAAGCAGTATTTCAAATCCCATCACATTGAGAAGTTAACCGTTACGGTTCGTTAAGCTCCTTCCGCACGTTATCATGAAACGCCGTATACCTTCTTGCCACAACAAAACGGCGAAGGCGATACAGTTAACTCTCAATCTTAATGGAGGCCCAGTGGCCCATTTGAATTTTTACCTCCGTTAACACAATTCTAACCTTTGTGTACAAATTTTGTTGATTCATTTTATTTAAGATAACGGCTTGTAAACTTGCATGAGTTGAGAACATAGCTAGTTAATATGGTGTCGTATTTATTTATTAATATAGTTAGGCAGGTGTACAGGTGAGTTCGTATTCCTTTTAGATAAACATTTTTATAGTCCGGAATTTTGACACGTTACAAGACAGATGCTTTTTTTAAACAAATTGCCAACGTTGTGAAACTAAATAAAACACAGCATACAGACAAAGTGAGACCAAAAAAACCGATATGACTTTTGGAATTTGATGGAAAGGAAAAACAGGACGCAAGAAGGCTGTGCATGACGTTCCACTTTGATCTGGGGAGACCCTTTTACATGTACGGATCATTTCATCAACGAATGGCTATGAGTCCGACGTCCATGAGTTTCCGGATCTTCCGAGCAATATCTGTATTCTTTAGGTGGCTATAAAAGAAGTAAGGAAAAAAAAAAAAAACTAGTTCACCAATGGTCTATACAAAAATATGATGGAGACAGAAACAGAGAAGTTCAGGGTAGAACTTACTCGTTGAGTGCTTGAGGATCCTTATGCATTTGCTCAAGGATCATACGCATGGCAGGGTCACTCATAATCTGCTGCACTTCAGGATCAGCCATAGCCCGTTTCTTTACCTCCTCTGGGCTGTCGTCCCTCGTGGCATGACTGACCATACAACGCTGCATACCTTCTGAGGCTTCCTGATAATTAGTAAGCAAAAAAGCCACGTATTGTTACTGTGACATTTTTCAAGTGACGTTTTTTTTGTGCATGTATGTAAGCCAGATTCTCTCAACTTGTCTAAATCACCCATATTGCATCACCATGTACCATCACTAAACATAAAATCTTAACAAATGCTTAGTAAAAAAAATGCAGTAAAAAGAGTAGTGTCTAGTTAAAAATAAATGATTTTTTTTCTGGTGCACATGGGCCTTCTGTAAAAAAAAAAAAAAGTCTTTACTTTTACAACTTGACCAAAAAAAAAAAAAAAAAAAACTAAGTCTTTACTTAAGAAACTAAGACTTTTACAACTTGACTTGCTTTTTTTTCTGTCAGCAGTTTTGTACATTTAGCTGACTAGTATATAAACACTGTCAGATTTCCTTTTTTTTTTTTTTTTGGTGTGCTGGATTTTTTTTTTTTTTTGTGATATTGGGTAATACCTTTGAGGAAGAGTCGAGCTCCTGAGCCTTTTGGTATGTGTCCATAGCTTTAGAATATTCTTTCATGGCTTCCAAAACAGCTCCTTTGCGTGTAAAGCCTTTGACTGTGGGCAAATGCGTTAAATTATTTGTAAGACAGCAGTATTTCCCCCCCGCTCTGAACAGATTATTTCAGTCTGTAAACGATTAATTCTAAATATTTACATCTCTGAACAGATTATTTCAGTCTGTAAATGATTAATTCTAAATATTTACATTTACATCAACAACAAAAAAAATTGTTTACTTACTAAAGGTGGGGTCAAGTTTGATGCACTCATCACAATCCTAAAAATGCGATTGCAAATATAAAGGACAATAAAGTTAAATATCAGGTAAATATCTTCGTAACAGAGGTGCTTAGTCAAGAACAGAATGGTACCTTGAGGGCGAGTTGAAACTCTAAGAGCTTAGTGTAGCAGGCAGCCCTGTTACTAAAGAGTTTGGCATCACCAGGGTTTCTCTTGATAGCCTCAGTGTAATGTTTCATGGCCAAGGGGTAGTCACCTGGGAACATTGGGGGGAAAAAAAAAATACATGATGAGTTTACTTAAAAATGACTAAAACCTATCTATCAATTAACAACCCAAACGCAATTTATTTTTTCAGACCTTTTTGGAATGCATCGTTTCCCTTGTTTTTTTCATCCATGGCCAGTTCTGGGTTAATATAAGCAAGTTTCTCCTGCTCCTTCAATATCTTCTCCGCCTATGAACACAATTTTAATAAAATGCACATTGATGTGACTAAAACATACATTATAAATAAAATATTTAAAATAAGTGTAATAAAATGCACATTGATGTGACTAAAAAATACTTTATAAATAAAATATTAAAAATAAGTGTTTGATGTGCCGTTTTTCCAAGCACAAACAAAGAAATCTTGATCTGGCCAATGGAAATTTGCACTGCACCTGCTGGCATTTCTTCAGGACTTCAGGAGTACGATGCTCAGTCAAACTCTTCTGGAAGTAGTGAACTGCCTCTTTGTAGTTTTCCTGCTTAAGGTACGAATTTCCAATCCTAGCCAAGGCCCTGTAACATTAGAAAAAAGGGACAAATAACAAAAAACAATAATTAGTCACAACATTTGAAACCTGAAAACACAGAGGCATAAATTGAATATACTTTTATTTCTAATGGTGGAAAACTCTCCACTTATTTGTAGGGGTAAAAAGGTAGTATTTTTTGAAGAATATGTATGTATGTATGTATGTATGTAGTGATGACTCAAGATACTCACTTTGCAATTTGCCAGTAGTCTTCGCGGTTCTCTCTGCCAACCAGAATGGCTTTTTCACACAGTTCTCTGCACTTCTCAAACTCTCCCTTTTCGAAGAACACGGCTATAAAAAAAAAAAAAAAAAAAGAAGTAAACCTCAGTTTTACATTTCACCCAGAAATTGTATTTTTTTCATTGTTTCTGGCACATGAATAATTTTGTAAGGTCACCATTTAAAGCGTGCAGCCCTGTTTCTTTTAAATAACTTTCATTTTGGTGCTGTGTGTTCATTGTTGGCTAATCAAGGGCAAATCATGAATATATACCTGCTTGGTTGGTGATGTACGTCATGTTAGTGGGGTCATCTTCGATCGCCTGTTCATAATGTTTCAGCGCTGTTTCAAAGTCCTTATTCTTATAGGCCGCATTCCCAAGTTCTTTTTCTTTCAAGGCCTGTAAAGAAATTACATTTTGAGGTGAAAAAGTGAGGACAAAAAACATTAAAAAAAAAAGAGAGACACAATTGCATTAAATAACAATTCCAAAACAGTTGGACCTTTTTTTTGTTTTCAGGCAAGTCCTCCTCTTTGGATGGAGGTGGCTGAGTGTCTTTGGGCTTTGGAGGAGGAGGTGGGGTGGGTGCCTCTTCTTCCTCCATCTCAGAGAGGTTTAGACCCAGCAGAACGGAGAGTGTGGTCATTACATTTGGATCTTGCAGCTTTCTGCATAGCGGAGAGAGAAATTGGGACTATTCAGCTAATAGCACCTGTTAACGCCACAAATTTAACTTGTTTTACAGCACATTAATATTATACTGTAGTACTGTTGTGATTTAAAAACTCAACAACATCAAGTATGACATATTTATATGCAAGATTGAATAGAATGACAGGGGGTTGATAAATGCAATGGAAGGTCCTTCTCAGATTTTATATAAAAAAAAAAATCATTCAATATTTAAGAAACATTTCTTCACGCATCTTTTGCCATAGAAAATGTCACTTGAGAGACCTACGTGCTTAGCTCCGATGGCTTGTTCTTTAGCTGCTCCAGCAGTTCTCTGTAACTGGGGTCTGACAGTAACTCCCGGGTTCGTGGATCACTCTCCAGCTTTTTATACAGGTCCGGCATGGCAAAAGGATTCATCATCATCTTCTCTGGTGAAGCAAAATGTATATTAAGCATATGACCATGTACTTAAACAAATGTGACATGGATGTAATCTTGCACTGATGTACGTACAGTGATCCCTTGCTATAACGCGGTTTACTTTTCACGGTTTCGCTACTTCACGGATTTGCATCGTGCATTGTGTTCTGCATTCTGATTGGCTAAAAAGTCACTCCGCTTCTTCTCTACCTGTGCGCCAATAACGTTGCGGTTTAATATGTACACGTACGTAAAACAGCTTGCCAAATTGACATTACGTACGTGCAAATTCTCTTGCAATTTCGAGTTTATCAAACCCCATAATGTCGACAAAACGCTCTGGACCGGCAAAAGTACCTGCGGTAGGGACCAAAAGGCAGCGGAAGATGCTGTCTATCGGTGATAAAGTAAAACACTGCAGAGCGGAGTCAGGATGCAGCGGCTCAGTCTGAAGAGCAGTGAAATAAAGCTGAGTCACTATTTGTCCGACTGTACAGGTAATTTGTATTTTTTTCATAATCATTTTTAATTTTCTCCCGTTCACGGTGGGCGGTGCTAATCTCCGCAATTTGAAGCCTTCTGTTCACGTTGATGATTAAAATTATTATTTGACAGTACATTACAGAAGTTATTTGTTGAAACGTTTCTAAAGTACTTTTATTTTACTTTATTTGTGAAACAAATGGTTGAGACTGTAAAATGGTTTGTTCGTTCTTTCTCTTCTTGTTCTGAGTATTTAATTGTAAAAAAAGTAAAGATTTCTACTTCACGGATTTTGCCCATCACGGGTTCTTTTTGGAACGTAACCCCCGCGAAAAACAAGGGTTTACTGTACACAGTTTCTTTACTGTGTGACTAGTGCCACATTTGAGTGACAAGACTGGCAATGCATCGACTGCTGCTACTGTTTGTGCAAACATAAACAAGTACAAACAGGTAGAACAAGTAGGAAGGGAAAGTATTTACCAGCAAGTCGAGCTTCAATGTTCTGTAAACCTTCCTTCAGTTGCTGATTGTTTGGCTCTTGCCGGAGCCCTTCTTGGTAAGTAACTCTAGCATCTTCTAGGCGACCAAGAAATTCCTGAGCTGCAGCTTTACGGGAATAGCCCTGGTTGATAAAAATTAAAACAAAAAACAAAAACAGATTTTTATTACAGCATACGATTAAAAACAAAACAAAAAAAAACAGGAGAGAAGAGAGCAAATTCTTACCTTGCCCCAATCAGGCTTAATCTTGATAGTTTGACAGGCATCTTGGAGAGCGTTCTGATAGTTGCCCTTTTTAGCATAGGCAGCTGAACGGTTGCTGAACAGAACATGGTTTGCTGGGTCAAGAGCCAAGGCTTCAGTGTAGCACCTTATTGCCTCGTCTATATTCCCTGCACTCAGTGCCTTGTTGCCCTGGTCTTTAAGTGCTGAGACCTGTAAGAGGAATATACAAATCAGTGAATATTATACTTCAATAAATTGTGCTTAGAATAGACACTGAGGAATAGACTTAAAATAAATCTGAGTAAACATAAAGAACATAAAAATGACATAAAAAACAAAACAAAAAAACAATTGCCTTTCGCAGTCATGTTTTTTTCATGTTTTTTCTTTCAACTACTGTTTCTGTTTTTCCATTTTTGTTGTTTAAATAAATCACACTCAAAAAAAGGCATCTCTACTGTATACATTTTTTTCTGTTAAAATATGGATTATCTTTTGAATTCTACTCTCAAAGTAGAGTGTATGTGCAAATAATCAGATTGATCAGAATGATCACTGTATGTCGTGTTTAAAACAACTTTGCATCTCAACACCTGTCTGAACTGAGCTCCTCTCTACCTCGTTTTTCCACACTAACTCACTAAAGATATACCCTTAAATTAATGGGCAAAGGTGTCCCTCAAAAAGAGAGTCGCTTGTTTCAGCCAAAGGTTGCTTTGAAAATGTAAATGAAATAAACACACTCTTGACACTTACTTTCAATTTCACCTCACCAGTGACCTTGATAAAGCTCTCTTGTTTATTCATTGTAGTTTCTGGTCAAACTAAGATGATGTGCTTTTTCCAGCTAACAAATTATTGCATACTCAGTTTTAAAGGTAACTGGCTACTGCAATACTGTGTTAGCAAAAATTCAATATTGCCTTTGTTGGGAATTTTCTTTAGCACCAACATACAGATCAAAGGAAAATTATATTTCTTACTGAAGTTACCAGAGCAAACAACATGCAGATCAAAGGCTGACAACAAGAAATATTTTGTAGGGCTAATTGTTGTCCAGTACCAAATATTAGAATGAAGAAGACAATTGGGTCTAAATTTCCAGCTCGTTATTATGGACAAAAATAAGATCCTGTCGATAATCAAGGGAAACAGTAGACAATAATTTGACTAGTAATGTGTGCACGTATCATAGACTGATAAGTCGAGTTACTACCTCAGGGATGATTTGTTATGATTAGATTACACTGTTTTGATTAGATTATACTGCGTTAGTTAGGAGCTGCTTCTACTGGGCAGCTGCAGAACACTGAAGACGACAGCTGACCATGATATGCTGCTGTAGCCATGACAGCGGCAGCAGTAGTCTAGAATGATCCTGCGTTCTGACAGCACACACTGTTGAGAGCATTGCTAAAGCTGTTCCAAAAATACTCCTACAGCATGTGCGGCTGAATGACTGCTACACTTCTGGTTATCGAACAGCAAACATTTCAGTGAATGTTGTCCTACAATGTGCTACAATGGTTTCAATTCATTTCTACACACCGCGGACTGGTGTGAGCTTTTAAAACGTGGCGTGCGTACTATGCTATAACACTGGCAGCTGCATGACACAAGTCTTTATCAACTACTTTGAAATGTATGAATGAATGACAGGCAGTTCACCCATAGGTGAAGTTTTTTTTATTATTATGTTTTTTTTTAAAAAAACATGTCTGGAATATAGGCTTACATGATAGCTTAACAGTTAGCTAAACCTGTCGGGTGCGTTCAGAAATATATCAAACAAAAAACTATACAGAACACTGCAACAAATTATACCTCGTCGCGCAGAATTACTAACAAGTACCAATATGTAATCCAACAGTTTCAAAGTTTAGCTTTACCCATTAACCTTTAAGACGAATCACACATCGTCCAACATCTAGCTAGAACACTCATGTACTACCGGATACAAGCTGAGCTAACAGGCTAACTAGCATGTTATAATCAAACACTGTTACGTCCTTGTATGAAACGATAACTACACGAAAACGTGTATTGTTACGGGATTTAAAATAAAAATGTTTTAATGTGATGGTGTAAGTCATTGATTGTATTTACACAGTTCGTAATATTAAGAATGAAGAGTTGCTAACCACTTACTTTGTCCATGGTGCAAGCATGGGGATCCTTCCAGAAACTACTGTGAACTTAGCGCCTCCCCCGATTCACCACTGAGGTTGCCAGATCATGACGTCAGAATGCGTAAAAACGCGCAATCAGCACGTACTCTTAGTGTTCATGTTCTATGGTAAGTGTTTATCCTCGAACACCTTTTTTTTATGCGAAATTAAAATAAACACGTTTCTTTAGCATTATAGTTGGGAAAGTAATTCAGACTGAACAATGCTTTAGCACACACTAGTAAATCTATTAACTATTGCCAAAACTTGGTACAGTGTACGTATTATAACGTTTATTGTTATAAAATCATATAGCTACGTAGTATTTCATCAATGCGACATTAATTAAGTGCGGTGTCAACCTTAAGCCATTGAAAACGTTTACAATGATAAACTGTTTGTGAATAATATTACTATTAAGTTGTATAATTGAATATCAATTACACTGAAGTAGAATGTGTAAACATTTGGGCAAAATTGACCAATGATATCAGTACGTCGGACTTAACTGTGAATACGTTGGAATTAGCTCGAAAAGCTAAGGAGAATTTAATGTGTTGTCTAAATGTTAAGCTAAGGAGAATTTAATGTGTTGTCTTACTAAAAAAACCCGTGTTTTTTAAATTTGGTTATAAAAGGAAATAAATACATACACTCGATATTTTAAAATGCCACATACTTATTATTATTTATTATTTAGTTACTGACAATTAAAATACGACTCTCCCCCTCCCTTTTTTTTTTTTACCAATCAGGCACTACTTACTAAGAGCTAGAAGAAACGTTTTGTGGACTGCATTGTGTCTATTTTCCAAACAGCCATGAGACGAAGACAAGAAAACCAGTTGTCCAGACCAACAGCAGGTACATTATGTAAAAATGACAGCCTCTCTGTGTATCTGAGTATTAATACAAATTTAAGTGTTTAAAGTTCATTCTTTTTTTTATTACATTTTAGCAAAATGTCGAGTAAATGAAAAATGGAACCCTCAGTCAATTTGAATTTTTTGCATAGATAACTCATTGGTTACTCAACCCATATTACTTTTGTGTAATGTAGCACCATGGTGTTTAACATGTGACATGAATCTGCCTGACCAACCTCTACTTCTTACATGTCCTTACATAGGAAAGGGTAGTCACAAAATATATGAATTGAGATTTTTCGACCATTTCTGATGTTGTATGATTTGATGATATGATAATTAAAATAATTTCAATCACTTTTACAGCTTTTCTATAACAATACGCCTTATTAAACCTCCAACAGCTTGTGACAGTTTCGAGGGAAGTCCATCTTTCTAGCAAGTGTCTCTGTTTTGTCTCCACCAGCTCACGTCTCTGTACCTCTCTTTAACCAGAAGAAAAGAAACAGGATTCCTATGACATCGTCTCCTTCTTTGAACGAATTCTTCTCCCACAGTGAATACAAGACAAGCACGAGTTCAGCTGCATCTGAGGGTAGAAAAACTGAACTGGCTTTGTGTACCTTCCGTCTTTTAGACACTGGAGGGCAGTATAATGAAAGAATGCAATGATTACAATTACTATAGGATTAGATTGAACAACTTTCATAAAACCCAGACCTCATTCTTTATATAGAGCAACAAATCTATATTATTTCATCTTTGGCCAATCCCCTGAATATCTCATAAAATGTATTCCAAGCTATTGCTTGTGTGACGCTGATAAAGGTAGTACATGTGGATAAAATGTACTTCACCGTGGTAATAACAAACACCACAAATTACAGGCATGCAAACCTGTGTCATGTGACCTTATATAGTAAAATCTGAATAGTTGTATTCACTTTACAGTGTCAAACAGTTTGCACTAATATTGTGTAGAATCTAATATAATTTCAACATTGAATCCGGCTTCAACACAATAATTATTTAAAGGGCCTTTGCCTTTGACAGATGCATCTTTTCTTTCCCTCAGGTGCTTCAGGTGGTTACACAGCCACAGGTACATCTTATGGTGTTTATCCAAATGGAGGAGGAGGAGCTTGTTATAATAGCCAGAGTGTCCAACAAGCTCCTTTATCACAGACGTGTGACGGCAACAGACCTGCCCCTGGGCTCATTCCAACAAACAGGGGGTTTGCACTCATGCCACATCCGTACAAAGCTGGTAGCACAGGGTATGTATTGAACATTTCTTGTGAAGTGGTGCTTCATAAACCAGTTATATACCAAGGTCATATTTATGGAGTAAGATTTAAGTTACACGTTTTCTAGTGCAGCCAGTTGTTAGGAACTTTTACTTTAACTTCTAACTGAAATATGTTGACATTTCCTAAAGTAACTCAGTCAGACCAATCGTCTTATATTTAAGACACTAGCTAAAATTACGTGATACCAAAGACTACCATGGCACCATTGCCATTTTCCTGAATTAATAAAAGTACTTCTTAAAGCACAAGCACCCATCAGTACTAGTTTCAACCTCATTACTACATTCCCGTTGTTTATTTTTGAGCTGATGTCTGAATCCCCAGCCAAAAGTTTGTTTTTATAGCCATTGCTGCATCGCAGTAAATGAAAAATCCCTGGAGCGAGTGCAATTTGCAGATGTTATTGTGAGCGTGTTTTACCACTGATGTTTATTTTGATTTCAGCTCCAAGCCGGGGCCAAACATCCCTTCACACAGACAACAGGGTTTCAACAGCCGTGGTGTTGGTGCTCAACAGAACAAATATCAAGAGTCTCCCCAGAGTGACACCGCGCAGAGCAAGCCCTGGTCACAAGTTGGATCCGCTCAAGTGGGTCAGCGGTTTCCGTCTCATAGCCAATCCATTGCCCACAGTGGTCAGCAGCCACAGTGGTCCAGAACTCTGCGTCCACCACTCCGACCTCTGAACAACCCCCCTGCTCGTGCTTTGCCACCGCAAAACAATACATGGAAATTTACTAACAGCTTTAGGCCACAAAGCACCTTCAGTGCTGGCAAACAGGTTACAAATCAACGTCCGACCGTGCAGCCAATTCATATGCAGGTAAAATAAAAATGTAGAGACAATCGAATGAATTAGTTACGTCTATGTTATTGAAATTGGCAGAAGAAAATGATGTAGTAAAAAAGTCAGAAATATGTATATTGCATTGAGAGATTATGTAACAGGTTACTTCCAATGAATTATCCATCACTGCAGTTTTACTTTTTTGTAATTAAAGGTCACTTTATTATCCATCACTGCAGTTTTACTTTTTGTAATGTAAAGGTCACTTTTTTATATATATATATATGAAAATACAAAATTGTTTGAAATGATATCTAATATTGTTAGTGATAAGGGCTCTGTCCCGTACCTCTGCGCAGGGGGAAGTATCTCCAAAGAAGCCAGTGTTTGAGAACTCCCTGAGAATACTGACTGCAAGTATTGCTGGCATGAGACACTGGAGCCAGTTCAAAGATAGAGTCTCATACCTCTTTGAGATATTTGGTCAGTTGATTGGTGATCGGTGCCACTGTTTTTTAAATTGGGGTTTATTATTTGTTACCCGTGTCATTAATCTGTCTTGTCTTCTCATCCGTCAGCCACGCTGGACTCGGCAGTTACACTGGGCTGCCACGGAGCAAAGACTTTCCTCATTAGAGATGGAAAGGAGGTCGTGCAGTGTGTCTACTATGAAAATGTGAGGGGGGAATATGTCTTCAGAAAAAAATGAAAATACAAATTTAGATTCTTCTGTGACGTACCCGGAAAGGGAAATAGTGGTTTTGTTGTCGTGTTGATTAAAAAGTGTCACAAACTACTTGAAATAAACACATATAAATAATCTGTAAATCAGAAGACACATCTGAATAACATTCGACTTGACGTTGAAGAATTTTTCTTACTTTTTGATACAGCAACTCTTTATCAAATGTCTCCAATCTACTATCTAGTTGCAGGTGATGTATAAAAATTGAAATTTTGAAAACTGACTAGCCGCAAGTCAAATAAACATGTCAGGTTTTATAAACTTTTTTTTTTTGTCCAACAGGAGTGGCAACTGCCTCGTCTCATCCGCGGTCAAGTCCATCGATGTGTGGGCAACTATGACCAGGGCAGAGAGGTCCTTGTGTGTGTGTCCATCAGGCCCGCCCTGCCCTCAGAGCAGAGGAACTCAGATGAAGCTGTCAAAGTGTGTGATGCCGAAATGAGATTACTGGTCAAATCATTTAGTGAAGTCTGAGCATGAAAAGGTATCTGGGAACAGGCAAATGTTCAGCATTTCATAAAGTCTGTTTAAGTTCAAATTTACTGCCATCCTTACGAAGAAGAGAGGTTTCTCCAAAGTATCCTTAGTTTTTTTTTTTCACTTGTCATGAAGTAGTTGGTAGACAAATACACGTAGCTAGCAAGTCGATTTCACTTCCACGTTCTCGGTAAGATCGTTCGTATTTATCAACCAGTTCCACCACACTGTCAGTTGAAGTGAAGTAAAGCCTTTCCTTCTCGTATCGTCCGATGTGGTTTTTTTATTACAAAGAAAAGTCACAGAGAAGCAAACATCGTTTCGCGGTGATGTCACAAAAAGGAAAACGCGATGGGGTCATATCTGAAAAAATATATATTTTTTAAATGGGGGGCCTTTAAGAATAACATGTGAGATCAAGTACAGTTAGTTTATTTACAGCCAAACATCACAATGGGGAAAAAACAAGAATCTACTAGAACAGCTTTACCAGTGCTGAGACTTTACACACGATGTTTCACCATAAAAGAGGAACAGTCCTGGAAATCATTTTTCAACAATCAAACATCCAACATTCCAACGTGGGTTTTTTTCTCACTTAGAGTTTAAACAATTGGCAGACTACAAAAATAAAGTTAAATACACACGTTAGAAAAAAGAGTGGCGCTAAATAGAATTGGCAGTGTACAGGGACAGGAAATAGACATGCGGACATAGACAAGCTTATTCATTATTATTGAAGCCGCCGGGACAGGAAATAGACATGCGGACATTTTGTCCTCCAAACAGGAATGGTTCCAGTGCTTTCAGTAGAGACGTGGGTTAACGGGAAACGCACACATTTTCTTACATGAGCTTATTCATTATTATTGAAGCCACTTCTTACACATGATGTGAGTAATGTGTCGGCTCAGCACGGACGACAACAGTCCAATATCATTCGGAGCTGTCATGAGCTACAGTATCACCCATGTATTAAAATCACACAAGATGCAGACACTGGGAAATAATCAGCCTTTTAAACACAATTCTGGTGATTTTACTCTCAAAGACTCTCTCTCTTTTTTTTTTTTTTTTTTAAACCGGTCTTTTTCATTTTCTCAAGATAATGAGATAACACTGTGCGAGTCCGACGCATAAGGAACACCTCTTGAAAATAAAGGTGGAATGATATTGAATCACATCACGCAACATTTATCCACAGTTTTTCAGCAGAAAGAGATGATAACCTGATCATCCTGTTTAGTTTGTCTCAGATATAATGAAAGGCACAAGGTGGTCAGATCACATTTAAAATCTACATTAGTTGTACTATCGCATCTATTATCTGAGCCCGTCTGGTTCAACATGCATGTTTTGACGACATCTCCCTGCCTTTTGTATTCTTTTTTTTTTTTTCCTGAATTAGTGTTTAGTATTGTGTATTGCAGGCAAAAACAAAAAATCATGTCTAACAAGCAATAACATTACACAAACATGTTTTGGGGGAAAATCACAAATGACCAAGAAAATAAGTATCCAACAAAACACCAACGCTCTGAAACTACCACGATATTATTATGAACTTGTCATGACAGGGTATTTGCATTTGTTCTATGGAAAGCATCACTGGTGTTTTCCATTGTCCATTTTCTTATGACAGCTATAAAAAGCACCATTGTTGAAAAGTCTAATGTCTTCAGATCTCCGGATCTGATGAGAACAAACCCCTTGAATCAAGCTTTCTTTGCAAATATTGTCTACTGTTACTGTACATACAGTACATCCAGTATACAGTCCATGATGAAGAGTCCTCTCTGAGTCAGTCGATCATTTCATCCGTTTGAACCGTACTCCTAGACATTGATGTCTTTGTCTTTACGTGGATAGCTTCCAGACCGTTTTGGAATCTTGAATACTTAGTATTAACTCGTATCCATTATGGAGCGAAAGAAGAAACACATTGTGGATACAGTTTTTTTTAAAAATTGCTTTACTTAGAATATTATTCTCAACTGATCCCCCAGAGCTGACGCCATGACCAGAGAAGTCAGAAGTCAGATGGCTGAAAATATATCAATTTGATGGTAAATCCAACTATAGCAAAAGCCTTCCATTTAAAGAAAATTAGTTAGAATTTATTATATACAGGAATGGTTGGAGGAAGACCGAGTGTGTGTTTTTTTAAATTCTCAGATTCACGGATTACTGAGTTTCCAAAAAGCATCAAAATGTAGCAATAAAAAAACGATGCAATTGTTTCTGTTTGATATCAAATCCAAACATTTTTTCATTGCCCTATAACAGTGTGGGCAGAGGGGTGGGGGACAGCTGCTCCTTAGGTGCATATTTGGCAAAAAAGGGCAGAAAGAGAGTAAGCATGACCCCAACAATGGCCAGCATGTAGCCCCAGCCCATCTGGCAGTCACCCGCGTAGTAGATATCCGAGTCCCCGCAGAAGGATCGGACCAGAGAGGAGTTCAGCCCGAAGGGGTAGACCAGCAACCCGGCAGCCATGATGACCACTGTGCAGAGAATAAAGGACAGACATTATTAAATACCGTATTTACCTGGACAATAAGTCGCTCTGATGTATAAGTCGCACCAGCCAAAAAATGCATAATGAAAAAGAAAAAAAAACAACATATATAAGTCGCGCTGGAGTATAAGTCGCACCAGCCAAAAAATGCATAATGAAAAAAAAAAAAAACCACATATAAGTCGCTCTGGAGTATAAGCCGCCCCAGCCAAAAAATGCATAATGAAAAAAAAAAAAAACCACATATAAGTCGCTCTGGAGGATAAGTCGCACCAGCCAAAAAATACACAATGAAAAAAAAAAAAAAAACATATATAAGTCGCTCTGTAGATAAAACTTGCACCAGCAAGCTAGAGTGCCCTCTAGCAACTGGTAGTGTGGACAAAAAACCACATATAAGTCGCTCTGGAGTATAAGTCGCCCCAGCCAAATGCATAATAAAAAAGAAAAAAAAATACATATATAAGTCGCTCTGGAGATAACATGCGAAATTATACGTTATAAGTCGCACCTGAGTGTAAGTTGCAAACCCAACCAAAGATGGAAAAAAGTGAGACCGGAAAATACAGTACATTATACAGTACATACATTATGTTGCTGTAAATATGGTACGTGTGGAGCACAATAAATGTAGATTTTTCAGGAGTCTTACAGAAAAATTTAGTACACCTTAAATCCAGCACACATTTGTACAGCAGGGCATTTCATTCCCAAAACATGCAGTGGCACAGTTACACTAATGTGAATTTTATGGATGCTATTACAAAGCAAAAATTACAAATTTGCCTTCACCGGAAAATACAGTACATTATACAGTAGATACATTACGTTGCTGTAAATATGGTACAGTATGGATCACAATAAATGTACATTTTTCAGGAGTCTTGCAGAAAAATTTAGTAAATCCAGCACACATTTGTACTGCATGGCATTTCATTCCCAAAATATGCAGTGGCACAGTTACACTAATGTGAATTTTATGGATGCTATTACAAAGCCATTTTGCATTAATGTATTATTTGCCTTTACGGTACAAGACAACAGTTTTGAAAACATCGTAACCATTTTAAAGTTCGTCTGTTAACCATCAACGGAGACGTTATGAGGGCTATTGACTGGCTGAGAGTATATTTCGCAGAGTGAATTTGCTGCCATCAATGCAACAACATTCATTTTTATCTTTTATCTCGACGTCTCTAGCCTGTTATATTTCTTTATTTTAATATACACTTTACACGAAGATACAGTACTTTTGACCAAATGTATGATGTATTGATGTACGCACGCCAACTTATGACCACTAGATGGCAGTAGATATTCACAAAGGGAATCTTATTCTAAGCCAAGTACGTAGACTTCACTTCTTAATACATTGGACCATTAGGTTTATGAGGCAGAACACAGGAGTAACAGCAACGATACAGAACATTTAATCTATTAAATCAACTGAACCTCTCTTGATTCTTCACACCTCCTTAAAAACCCAGTTGCTCACCACATTTTTGAACATGACGTTTAAAAACAGTCCTTAGCGCGACCAGAGAGGCTTACGCTCACAAATGGGTCAACTCTTACCGCCGGTGCTGCTCAGTAGATATGAACTGCACTGTAAGCCTTTTTTTTATAGTGAGGCCTACCTCTGTTACTTTTGCACTGCCAGTTTGTTTAGCCTTTAAAGGGATCCATTAAATAATTTGTTTATGGGATGCACTGAATGCATTTATTCTAACTGGTTTTTATTACTTAATTTGAAGCCACTGTGGAAAGTAAATGTCAAATCTATGTTTTGCCGATGCTCACTGTTGGCTTACGGCAGGGGTGTGCAACTCATTTCCACCAGGGGGCCACATTACAGCAATACAGTTCCCCTTGAAGGGCCGGTTGTAAATGGAAGACTGTATAGATCTGGAGTCCCCAACCCCTGGTCCGCGGACCAGTACCAGTCCATAGGTCATTTGGTACTGGGCCACAGTGGTCATATTTATCTACTTACTTTAAAGATGTTCTGTCGATATTTTAAAATAATATGCCATGATACAAACAGAATACAGCCTAAAACTAATACATGTTTCTGCAATGTTTCCCCACTAGCTTAGGGTAATGGTTTTTACACTATGGTTCACAGACTGCAGGTACATACAGTGGGTTCCCTCTTGTGGCATGTAGGGGAATCTGATCACGTATGGCATCAGTTGCGGTGCTGAAAGTGAAAAACAAACCTTTTGACCAATCACAAATTTGAACCTATCATCAAAGAGGAGTATGTGGACCTCAGTCGTAACTAGGCAGTTGGTGCACTGAAACCTGAAACCTTTTGGATCCAAGGCCGCTTCCTTAACCACCAAGGTCCATGTGGTTGTGGCTGTTAAATAGGTTAAAAAAAAAACTCATTAGGAATAAATGGTTTCTATGCTCAGCTGAATGAGGTAGAAATGTGCAAAGAACCAAATATTTCAGAATTGGTACTGTATATAGTGTAGTGTAAAAAGTCTGAAAAAAAAAACATAAAGAAACATATGAAAAGTCTGAGCTGTTTTCGTTTCATATTTCAGAATTGGTACTTTATAAAGTGTAGTGAAAAAAGTCTGAGCACAAAAAAAAAAAAAAAACCATAAAGAAACATGTGAAAAGTCTGAGCTGTTTTTGTTTCACGGCAGAGCGTTTCTCACCAGAGTTCATTTAGGGCCTGATAATCCAGTACCTGTCTTCTTTTAGCTCTTGTGGTGCTTTATCTACGGGGGCGCAGTATCTCTAAACTCACTTCCCTAATGAGACTTTAATGATCTTCTCGATCAAACAGTCTCACGCCCCAGTCAAAGAAACACGAAAAGACCCCTATCTTATACACCGACTTCTTTTCTCCAAAGCAACTGAGGAGTTTTAATAAAAAAAAATAACAAACAACGAACAATACAGCACAACAGTCAAACTCCCCCCAAAAATTCAAGCGCCGTCAGGAAAATAAGGGTGAGAGCTGGGTGTTTTATGTGTATTATGCCAAAAGAAACAGGACAAAGGTCTGAATCTGATAAGCCAGGGGTGTCAAACATATGGCCCGCGGGCCAAAAACGGCCCGCTTGAGGTGTAAATCCAGACTTTTATGACTGAAAATAAAATAATGCACAAACACTTGTTCAGGAAATGTTTTGTTAAATTATATTACACATATATATATAATATATTACGGCCTAAACATATGGCCCGCGGGCCAAAACCGGCCCGCTTGAGGTGTAAATCCAGACTTTTATGACTGAAAATAAAATAATGCACAAACACTTGTTCAGGAAATGTTTTGTTAAATTATATTACACATATATATATAATATATTACGGCCTAAACATATGGCCCGCGGGCCAAAACCGGCCCGCTTGAGGTGTAAATCCAGACTTTTATGACTGAAAATAAAATAATGCACAAACACTTGTTCAGGAAATGTTTTGTTAAATTATATTACACATATATATATAATATATTACGGCCTAAACATATGGCCCGCGGGCCAAAACCGCCCGCACCAATAATGAATGTGTACATTTTACAGGAACAGCAGATACTGCTACACAAGCCTAGAGTGCCCTCTAGTGGCTGTCCCTGTAAAAATAACAAACATGTGAAATTATATATTTTAATATATAAGTCGCACCCGAGTATAAGTCAGAAAACCCAACCAAAGGATGAAAAAAAAAATGCGACTTATAGTCCGGAAAATACAGCACAAGTACTGACCTGACCGAAACATACAGTGAAGCCTCCTTTCCCATGTTCAACTTGTGGCCCCAAAATAGCTGCCCACAATCCTAGTCAAGGTTTACGGGCTGTCATTTGAGGTCCACTGTTCTACAGTAAGCACAGCCCCATTGTACGTAATCTATATACAGAAGTTCGTTTAACATATAATTTGACCACAGAAGTGGAAGCCAATTTGTAAGGAACCACAGTAGACACAGTGTCTCACATATATATAATATTATATATATATATATATATAAATATATATATATATAATATAGTTAATGTTATAATCCTAAATTAGTGACAGTAAATGATAAAAAAACATTTAAACAGTTTTAGTCCTTTCTTTTAGAAAAGTGGAGTGGAGTTACAACAAAAGCGACCTTACACACCTCCGTCACAGGCCTCCTCTATTGAAGTGCAAATATGTTTCCGATTAACCCAGATGAAATCCTTACATTACTGCATAATATTACTTGTCATTATTCTTTACAGGCCAGACTGTAGCATGGGAATGTAACATCAGCAGTAACAGCCGTATTTTATGACAGAATAAACCTATCCTAATACACCAGAGCAGTGGACAGCTTACTTGGCTCCAAACTCTCAACCAATGCTCTGAGTTTGTGAGAAAATCCTATAATGAAAACCCGCACCAATAATGAATGTGTACATTTTACAGGAACAGCAGATACTGCTACACAAGCCTAGAGTGCCCTCTAGTGGCTGTCCCTGTAAAAATAACAAACATGTGAAATTATATATTTTAATACATAAGTCGCACCTGAGTATAAGTCAGCAAACCCAACCAAAGGATGAAAAAAAAAATGCGACTTATAGTCCGGAAAATACAGCACAAGGACTGACCTGACCGAAACATACAGTGAAGGCAAAGAGAACAGCCTCCTTTCCCATGTTCAATTTGCCGACAAGGCACTCATTTGTTTGGGCGCAGCTCATGTTTGTCACCAACAGAAGGTGCGACGGGGAAGCATATGCCAGTAAGAAGCTGAAAAAGTATTTTCTTAATTACACATGCAGGCCTAAGGCAATACATCAAAACCACACGACGCATGTTATGTGCGAGCGTGTGTCTCGTCTCTGCTTTACTTCCTTTTGTCTTTTTCGAATACATAAGCACTTTGCCAGTAACGACACAGGCTTTTGCTGATCTTGGCTTGTTTGTGTACTTTGTTTAAAATAACTATGATGTGATAACTTCCTTGAGCTGTTGAGTACACACACACACACAA